GCTTTGTCACTGAAAGCGCATGTACTGGAGAAGGGACATGTATGGAGCTTACATTGTCACTGGTGACAGGCACAGCTTGTACCAAGTAGTCAGGCACAGATAGGAGTTAAAATACAAAAACCTCTTCCAGTGGTTGATAAATGCTGCTTCCTGAAGTCTCCTGAGCTCCTCATGCCAACTATTCCTGTCCCTTTCCCAGGGTGTCCCACAGTGATTCCAACATAGGGGCATCTTGCACCATGGCCAGCATTTGTCCGGACACAGCCCATGCTGTATTACTTGGAGAAACTTCTGAACCCATTCCTGGTGCTAGGTGCCTGCAAGGCAGGTTCCAGAGGGAGAAAGGGTTTATGGATGTGGAACGAAAGCCTAGAGAGGTTAATGACTTCTCTCAGGTCGCCCAATTATTAAGTAACAAAGTTGGAATGCAAAGCCAGGTCTGACTTCAAATCCCATGTTTCCCCACTTTTAACCCTTCTTCTGAATACCTCCTTAAAAGGAAATTAGCTCATTAGCAGACATAAAGAGATGCTCTAGGGATGCAGTATAATTTGAGTCATGCCCTGGCCGGTTTGGCTCAGCAGTTGGGAGCGTTGGCCTACGAACCAGAGAGTCCCGGGTTCGGTTCCCACTAGGGGCACGTATAATAATAATAATAATAATAATAATAATAATAAAGTCACCAAAAATGACTAACATTAAGAATAAATTAACCATACTCATTCTCTGGAACAGGTCATTTTGGTATCTAAGTATGTCAGTACTAGAAATAAAATTCAGTATCTTTCTGATAATGATATTTAATCCAAAATATACCACATACTCCACTGAGAACAGTGAGGTGTTGATAATACACATCTCTTGTTTAGCTCAAGGTAATGGTTATGGGACTAGCCCAACATTCTTCAGTTGAAAATGGATCACATATTTTATTTTTTGGTACGTGCCCCTGGCGGGAACTGAACCTGGGACTCTCCGGTTCGCAGACTGATGCTCCAACCGCTGAGCCAAACCAGCCAGGGCGGATCAGGGTAGATTATTTAAAAAAAAAAAAAAAAAAAACTTTAATTACCTGGAGATTTTTTTAAACCAAGGGAAGTCACTTGAGCACCACCCACGTGGGTGTCTATCAGACCTGGAGGCTTGTAGAAACAAAGTTTAGGGGCCATAGATGGGCAACTAGGTAAGTTTCCCTAAAGTTCCAGGGCCTCCTTTTGAGAGTTATTGACTTAATAGTGTTACAAATTTTTATTAGAGACCAACTGGTAGCACTGCAAGAGAAGACAGGATATACTTCCTGTGCTCATGAAAGTGGGCCAAGGATAAGGGAGGTGAACCAATCTCTAAGGCAGAACCGGATCTGATCTTTGACTTAAAAATTCAATGACAGCCCTGGCCGGTTTGGCTCAGCGGTTGGAGCGTCCACCTGCGGTCCGGAGAGACCCGGGTTCGGTTCCCGCTAAGGGCATGTACCTCGGTTGCAGTTTGTCCCCGGCTCTGGTTGATTGTGTGGGTGGCAGCCACTCGATGTGTCCCTTTCACGTCGATGTTTCCCTCTCTCTCTCCCTCCCACTCTATCTGTACGAAAAAATGGAAAAATGTCCTCGGGTGAGGATAAAAAAAAAAAAAAAATTCAATGACAAACGAATGTGCGAAGAGGAAGAGGTTTGTGACCCACTCTCCACCTTCCTAGAATGAGTCTGAGGCAGAAGCCCTGACAAATCTCTCAGGCAAAGCACGGCTCAGGTGACATTCCTAATCTAACAGCTGAATTCTTTAGATTTGCTTTTAATGGTGACAATCATCTGGATCTACTCAGTTTTGTCACCTTTGAAAAATCATAAAGATGTAACACACTAAACAAGTTTTATACGAAAGAGGCAAGATGTTAATGTTGAGAAACCTCCAGGACTGCAGAGCTGTGCGTTAGTTCTGATGCCACTATTTTCTCGTTATGTAGCCTTCCCAGCTACTTCTTCCTCCCTCTGTACAACTGAGATAATACCACCTATTCCCCCTCAATGGTTGCTGCTAGCAAGAAAAAGTATGGTAGAATTGCCTCTGATGAAACAGCATAAATGGCCAGAGTGATCCCTTTGGTGGTTACAGTTTACACAAGAGTTACCATTTTTTTTCTTGGTTTCAAATTGCTACACTTTCCCCACCATCCATTTTCAGCTAATCTAATCACTGCTTGAAATTTGAGTCAAGGAATAGAAACTATTTCTTAAAAGAAGTTAAATTATCACAGGAAGCAAAGCAGACAGCATCATATATGTAGGTTAAAAGCTATAGAATAATCTTTGAGTCTTAAGAAATGATGATAATAGCAGCTTATTATACATAGTAATACAAGGTGCTGGGCACAGTTCTAAGTGCCTTATGTATGTAAACTCATTTACTCCTCACAAGCACTCTGTATGGCAGGTGCTACTACCCTCATGTTCAGATGAGGAACATGAAACAGAGGTGTACATGACAGTTGACATTTGAACCCAAAGAATAGTTCCAAAATCTGAGTTTTAAACCAGTATATTATGTTGCCTTTCTTAAAACAATTGTAATCTACATCCCTAGTATTTTAAATGAGTAAGAATTTCTAACTAAAAATAATTCTATGAAGTTCCTCTAGCTCTATGTAAATTTTGAAGTTGGTTTTCACACACTTACTCAAATCTTTCCCATTCAAAGACTTCCCAGGGGAAATAAAAGGGTGGAGGGAAGGGAAATGAGGGAATGGGCAGAAGAGATGTGTATGTTCTAGGAAATAAGACTAATTCAAATAGACAAATTTTATAAATTCCACAACTATTGCAGAATTCTAAAACCTAGGAATGAGAATTCTAATAATCTGATTTATAAACTAGCTGGTACAGTGCTTTTTGAAATGCCTTCAGAACATTACATTTTAGTATATTTGGGAGGAAATTTTATCAGATACGTCAAAATTTAAAGTGGAATTAGAGAAAGATCTGCAAATGTGGCTTTAAAGGTATAAAATCTTTTCACACACAAATCAAACAGCAGTGCAATTAAATTCTAAGAGTAACCAACTTAAAGGACTAGAAAAGTCTGCATTACCATTAAACATAGCTAATAACATGACATTATATTTAATAAGTAACAACGAACAGCAAAACACACAATATCCTCTTTAAATTTTTCACTGAAACTCTCCACCATTTTAGCTTCATGTAATGAGGTATTTGTTCACAATTGATGTACCATTTAAACTGAGTTGTTTTTTCTTTTCTTTTTTTAAAGAAGGGGAAGATGGCCAGGAAGGAAAAAAATAGACTGAGTCATTTTTTTGTTGTTTTTTAAAGACAACTCAGTATCTACCCAGCTCCAGACTTAATGAATTATTAAGGGTGGTTTCTACATTTACTTCCTCTTAAGGTGCACACAGTAAAACTATTTCAGATCAGAAAAAAAAGTTTTAAATTATATGCACAAGCTGTGCATTTTACCTTGCATTAGTTCTGCCTCTTCCAAGGAACAGACTTATTCAAGGGAGAAGACCTTTGTTGTCTTAGGATATATGACATGCTTTAATTCTGAGGAACGAATTCCCAAAACCAGAAACAATTTAAGCTTCCGAGATATTATAGCCAAGATTGCCAGAGTGACTGAAATCATTTAATGATAGATACCGATTTCCTACGTGAAGATAACAGTACTCAATGTGGCTCCATGAGCCATCTGGTATCTGCTGGTATATTATCTGAATTCTATAGCATTTGTTTGGAAAAACTTCAGGAGGAAGAGATGGTCTATAAGTTGTCTCATCTCCTATTCATCTTTTGATTTTAAATGAGTACCTAAACCCAGGTCAGGGAAGCCATTTCATTTTGTGGCTTATTTCCTCCTTTTCTGCATTTTGACACTAGCAGTCGCGTTCATTAACTTGAAAACATGGGAAAGCAGTGATCTAGGTCTACACTACCTATCACATCAACTTCATGTCAGACTTATACATCTACTTAATCTCACCAAAATTTTAAACAAAACCGATTATTTTAATTCAGAACTTCAAATAAATTACTATATGAACACAGTACTTTGATTGAGAAAGAGTAAAAGAACAAAATTGAAAAATCTGCGGGCAGCACCTAAAGCACTCAGTCAATGCTAACATTTCATTATCACGTCAGTATTTTTAATAGGACTTCTATGCTAATCTACAGAGGAGCAGGTATAGCCCTTAAACTACTCCTGATAGTGCTGTTACCCACCCAGGATTAACCTTGATAACGGTTATTAGGATCAGTTTAACAGCTTGAAACACTTTACACTTGTCTTTAAGTATACTTAAAGAATTTATTCAGCTGATTATTAAGGGGCCAAGCCAGAGCCAATATTCTAAATCTTGAAAGCTCCCTTCAAATGTAATTTTCATAGTCTTTAAATTTTAACTGTCATTGTTTATTACTGTTTTGGCTACATTCTCTACAATTTCAGCAGCATTTTAAAGAGACAATGTGTGTATGTACAATGGAAAAACAAAATGGCTTGCAACATCAGAAATAAGAGCCACAGTTTAACTGTACAATATTAAGGAGAATCTATGGTATAGAAGTATAGCCTCCTTTTTTGGCAACATGGACAGCTTACATTAAGTATCAGCATTATGAATGTAACAATAAAGGAATCATTTTTACAGGAGTAAAATACAACATCCTGAAAAGTAATGGTTTCTACCATACAAGGCAGTTAGAAAATGTTCACATTTTAACAAATCTGTACAAACCACAAGAAACTTGTTTATGGGACCATCATCCCACCTTGCTGATAAGAACCTTTTAGAAATGTAGAATAACCATGAACAATTTATATATCGAGTATCTATGTGCTCCACAGCCCTAGAACCCAAGAAACTGATTTAGAGAATCTCTATGTCCAACGGGGGTCTTTCTCACATGCCTTGATTGTTAATGAATGCTTTTACTGCGCTTCTATGATGTACAGTCAATTTGCACCTTTTTAAGGAGGTCATTCAATTTTTTTTTTTTTTTTTTTAGCAAAGAATCAACATCATTTAGCAGCAATTAAAGCGCCTTCAAGACTTAAAAAAAATACAATATCCAATTAGAAAAGCCATATTTTTAAACATTTGTACAAGAATAAGCTGCTGAAATTTGGTAATTGAAATATGACATATGTACAATAATTTACAATAGAGCTAGAAGGGAATTTATCATTATCTTGCACAGAACTGGTCTGCATTTGGTTACATACTGTCATTTGTTTTCATGAACAAGGCCTGGTATCAAAACAAATATGTGTTAATTCTAACATGTTGAAAACACTGGAGATATTACAATTTAGTGAATTCAACTGATCTCAAAATGAGTAGCTCCTTTTGTCAAAGGTGTAAAGTATCTAGGAATAATAACTCTCCCTTTAACATAACCAGTGAAAAAACGGACATGTGATTTCGAGGTACAATGTGGTAAAAGCCAGAATAGGCAAATGACAAAGTCTAACTTTGTCCAGAGATTCTAACTCTCACACTCTATCTATAAAACACAACTGTCACCATCATTCAGTTCTTACTTTGGTTTCAACAGATTCACTGCTGAATGCTGAAGGATGTACCCAGGCACTATAGTTCTTGTGTTAGGAATATGTCTCATTTTTTCCAAGTGTTTTTAAATAATGAAAAACTACCCTTCATATTAGAACTCTCTAGTAACAACCAAATGTATTTAAGTATTATAAACGTTATTTACAGTGTTCCCCCACACAAACAAGTCATTTTTCTTCTATCTTAACACCGTATTCCTGTTTCTGTGCAACAGGCAGTCATCCTTCACTGCTCAGGGTTAGAGTCAGAAGTGTACATTTATTCACTGTCCATGATCATCTCTCATATAAATGATGCCACAAAGAACCTAAGTTCACAAACAGTTCTCAATCATGTCCTGTGTTAAAAACAAAATAACAAAAAACACTCAAAGGTTCTCAAACTCAAGTGTACATCTGGAAGCAATTCAAAGGTATCATGCCAATTTTGGAGGGAAGTCAGTAAGTAATTATGCTTGAAGAAGGGGGTGTAGGAGATGCTGTCAGCCCAGCCATGTGTAAGTTTCCTGAAGAATTTGATCTTCTCATGTGTGGGAGAAGGTATGGGTCGTTTGCTAGTTGGTGCACATCAAATCGATCTTCTTTTCGGTATGCCAGACAGCGTCTTATAAAGGCCTTAAAAAAAAAAAGCCAGCAATTAAAATCTTTCCCCTTCCAAATATCAATAAACTAAATCCTATACATTTAATACAACTTTTCATCATCCTAAACTGAAACGCTATACCCATTTAATAGTACCTACCAATTCCTTCCTCCCCCAACCCTTGGAAAACACTATTCTGTGTTTATCATGGTTTGGCTATTCTAAATACCTGTGCAAGGTATCTAGAATATATGCGGAATCATACAGTATTTGTCCTTTTGTATCTGGCTTACTTCAGTTAGCATAGTGTTTAAGAGTCATCTATACTGTAGTATGTATCAGAATGCTGTCCCCTCCCCCCCCCCCGCCTTTTTTTCCCCTTTATTGATTTTAGAGAAGGATGAGGGGGAGAAACATCGATGAGAGAGAACATCAATTGGCCGCCTCCTGCATGCCCCCCCACTGCGGATGTGGCCCACAACCTGGGCATGTGCATGGGTTGATGCTCAGCTGCTGAGCTACACCTGCCGGGCAGAATGTCCCTTTTTAAGGCTGAATATTACTCAACTGCATGCACACACTACATCCTGTTAATCCATTCACCTGTTGATTGACAATAGGTCGTTTCCATCTTTTTTGCTGTGGTGAATGATGTGGTTATGAACATTGATACAAAGATCTATTCAAGTCTCTCTGCCTTTTCATCTTGTTGGTTTCCTTTGCTGTGCAGAAGCTTTTTCATTTGATGTAGTAAGTTGCATTTGCTTTTGGTGTCAAATCCAAAAGTTCCTCATCATGACTGAGGTCAAAAGCTTACAGCCAATAGGAGTGTTATGGTTTCAGATCTTTATACCTCCAAGTCTTTCATCCTTTTTGAGTAAATTTTTGTGTATGGTATAAGATAAGTGCTCCAGTTTTCCTGACACCATTTATTGAAGAGACTGTCTTTACTCCATTTTATATTTTTGGCTCCTCTGTTCATAAAATAATTGACCATGTATGTGTGGATTTATTTCTGGGCTCTCAATTCTGTTCCACTAATCTATGTGTCTGTTTTCATGCCAATACCATACTATTTTTATTACTATAGTTGTAAATAGTTTGAGATCAGGGAGCATTATGTCTCCAGCTTTGTCCTTCTTTCTTAAGATCGCTTTGGGTATTCTGGGTCTTTTGTGGTTCCACACAAATTTTAGGATTGTTTGTTCTAGTTCTTTGAAAAATGATATTGGTAAGGATTACCATGAATCTGAAGATTGCTTTGGGTAGTACAGCCATTTTAAGAATATCAGTTCTTCCAACCCATGAGCGTGGACTATCTTTCTATATATTTGTGTTTCTTTCATTTGTTTCATTAACGTCTTCTAGTTTTCAGTGTATAGGTCTGTCATCTCCTTGGTTAAATTCATTTCAAGGTATTTTACTCTTTTTGATGCAACTGTAAATGGGATTGTTTTCTTAATTTCTCTTTCTGATAGTTTGTTATTAATACATAGAAATGCAACATATTTTTTTTTGTTTTTGTTTTTTATTCTCACTCGAGGATATTCTTCAGATGGAGTGAGAGGGAGGGAGAGAGAGACACATCAACTGGTTGTCTTCCACATGACCCTGACCAGGACGACCTGAAACCGAGGTGCGTGTCCTTGACTGGAATCAAACCCGCGACTCACTGGTCTGCGGGCTGACACTCTAACTACTGAGACAAAACGGCCAGGGCATATTTCTTCCTTTATTATTTGGATGCCTTTTTTCTTTTTCTGCCTAACTGCTCTGGCTAAGACTTCCAACATTATGTTGAATATGGAAAGCTACGTTTATAATTACAAATTCTGGACAATGAATTCTAGAATTTATCTTCTACTGAAAGAATCCTCTCACCCCCTATCAGTTTAGTCTGGCCAGAGGGTATGCCACTTTTAACCATAACATTTTTTCCCCTATTGAGCATAAAGACTTTCATTTAAAGAGATGAAGGAACACTTCTATTGGGGTTTTGTTTCCTAGGTTACGCTGAGCATCTGCACACATTTGGAAAAAAGTAAAATATAATCACTTTTTCGTTCTTTCTCAGACTGGTTTTATGTTTCCTATCCTTGAGAATAGCTTTTTAAAAAAATCGATCAAACTGTATTTATAAAAAAATAAACAAGTCATAAGTATATAGTATAAAGTGAATATATCTATGTAACTGGCAACCAGACCAAGAAAAAGAATTTTACTGGAATCTCCTAAGTTTCTTCATGCCCTTTCCAGGCATGGGCTCTGCCTACAACCCACCTGGGTAACATCTATGCTAACTTTTAACACTACAGTTGAGTTTTGCTTGTTTTGACCTTTACGTAAGGGGAATAACAGATTGTTCTCCTTTTTCTGGCTTCTTTCTTGCATTCAATATTATATTTGAGAGATTCATCCATTTTTTGTAACAGATAAAACATTCTTAAGTAATAACTGGTCATTCTTTCCCTTTCTTATTGCTGACACCAGACATAAGCTATAGCTGAAGTGCCACATAAATTCACAAATTAAATCCTTTGCAGGAAAACTAACATACACACTTTTCAATCTGATTAAACTTTAATTTAGAGTGAACTATTTTGCATGTTCTTTGCTTTGAAATTCATTAAAAGTAATTCTTCTAAAAACAAATCTAGCTCTTCTCATCATTACACCATGTTTAGCTTACTAATATTTATCCCCAGTCTTTCTGGTCCAATTCTTTAACAAATAAAAAAGTCTCAGAGACCACTCTAAAATGATTAAGACATAGAAAGAAAATAAAAAGTAATTATGTTGAAGGCAGAGTTTAAAAGGAGAAAAGCTACCAACAGCAAGGTTAAGAAGTATACAAGGAGCAAATATGCTTAAGGTGCTCAAACCAGGTCAGTAGAGGTACTTGGCAAAGGTTTATTCTGTAGGGACAAAAGGTTATTATAAAACAAAAAATATGGCCCTACCTCTCCAGGCACCAAAATGGTGACTATAAAGAGCCAGAGGTGGTAATGGGATTTATTTTGGCACACTACACTAATTCCTGGTCATTTTTGTCACTATTAAAAATATAAACAAATATAAATAAATGAATCTTGCATTGACTAAATTCATTTAGTTTCTATTCTCACTGATGCTATAGATAGCAACAGCATGGCAAAATTTAGATCCTTTTTAAAGGAGCCATATTTACCTTGTGAAAATAACTTGTGCTTTAAAATAAGTATCTATTTTTTAAAAATATGTTTTTACTGATTTGAGAGAGAGAAAGAACAGGGAGAGAGAGACAGTGATCGGCTGCCTTCTACAGAACCCAGGCATGAGCCCTGACCAGGAATTGAACTGATGACCTCTCAGTGCACGGGACAACGCTCAACCAACCGAGCTACAATGACCAGGGTAAGAACGTCAGTTATCTTTTCAATTGTCAAAATCTCCTAAAAGTCATTCAAGGGGCTTGCAAAAAGCCAATAAAGATGTAATGGACAGCCCTGGCCGGTTTGGCTCAGCGGTTAGAGCGTCGGCCTGCGGTCCGGAGAGACCCGGGTTCGGTTCCCGCTAAGGGCACGTACCTCGGTTGCAGTTTGTCCCCGGCCCTGGTTGGTCGTGCGGTGGCAGCCACTCGATGTGTCCCTTTCACATCGATGTTTCTCTCTCTCTGTCTCTTCCTCTCTCTCCCTCCCACTCTATCTGTACAAAAAATGGAAAAATGTCCTCGGGTAAGGATAAAAAAAAAAAAAGATGTAATGGACAAAATGAAATATGGGACAACTCCAATAAACATTGATATTACATAAAAACCAGTACAATTACGAAGGCATTATGACCTTGATCAGTGCTTATCTACATTAACTATACAGAAACTATACAATGCCTATTTGTGATTTATTTGTAGGGCCTGGACTGTTCATATGAAAAAAAATGGGAATGCAATGTGTTTGTCTTAAGAATTTCACAGGGTTTAAAAAGAAGACTCCAATAGGGATTCAAAGAGAAACAAACTTTGTGATGAGTATAACAAAACAGGAATAAAAATACAAATGTAAAAAGCCGATAGGAAGATGAAGGTGGGAAGATATTAAGGACCATAAAAGTTTTGCTATTAAAAATATCTATTTCATGCTATCATATAAAAATATATGGACTAGTCTACATACCACCCTGAATGTGCAGATCTCAGAAGCTAAGCAGGGTTAGGCCTGATTAGTACTGCCCTGGCTAGTGTGTTGGTAGGGGCTATGTCCTGTACATTAAAAAGTCTCAGGTTCAATTCCCAGCCAGGGCACATACCTAGGTTGTGGGTTTGACACCCCCCGCCCCGGAGAAAAAAAACAAAACACAAATCAATGAAAGTGCTCTCAGGCGAGGATCAAAAAAAAAAGTTAAGAAGCTCCACAGACTCCTACATGTAAGAAAGAGATCAGGCTTTCTCTAGAGCTAGTGCAGGGTAGCCTTTGATCCAGCAGCTCTGCTACTTACTAGCTGGTGTAAGTCTGGACAAGGTACTTTTGCTATGTACCTGCCCTGACCAAGAATCAAACCTGCAACCCTTCAGTGCACTGGACGACACTCCAACCAACTGAGCCACACTGGTTAAGGCTCAACATAACCAATGCTTTTATTATTTCTTATACTGTTGACCCTTGAATAACATGGGGATTAAGGGCATTTACCCCCAGTGCAGTTGAAAATCCATGTAATAACTTTTGACTGCCCCCAAATAGAACTTAATAGCTTAGTTTTGATAGAAAGCCATATGGATGACTTATATAGCCAATTAAGACATATGTAATATGTTATATACTATATATATTATATTCTTACAATAAGATATTATCAAAAAAATCCTAAGAGCCCTGGCCGGTCTGGCTCAGTGGTTAGAGCGTTGGCCCGTGGACCAGAGAGTCCCAGGCTCAGTTCCTGCTAAGGGCGCGTACCTAGGTTGCAGTTTGTCCCCGGTCCTGGTTGGAGTCAGGTGTGTGGCAACCACTTGATGTGTCTCTTTCGCACTGATGTTTCTCTCTCTTCCCCCCTCCCTCCCTCCTACTCTATCTGCAGATAAATGCAAAAATGTCCTCAGGTGGGGATAAAAAAAAAGAGAAAATCCTAAGAGAAAACATAAACATGTATTTTATGCATTCATGACATACCTTTTCTTTAAATTAAAAAAATATATTTTTCTAGGCTATGTGATTCACCTGCAAATTTTTTCAAATTGTTACAAATTTTGAATATATTTATAAAAAATAATCCATGTGTCCTGGCCGGTCTTGCTCAGTGGTTAGAGCGTTGGCCTATGGTCCAGAGAGACCCGGGTTCGGTTCCTGCTAAGGGCATCTACCTTGGTTGCAGTTTGTCCCCTGGTTGGGTCGTGTGAGTGGCAGCCACTCGATATGTCCCTTTCACATCGATGTTTCTCTCTCTCTCCCTGCCACTCTATCTGAACAAAAAAAAAGGAAAAAATATCCTCAGGTGAGGATTAAAAAAAAAAAAAAAATCCATGTATAAGTAGACCTGAGAAGTTCAAACTTATACTGTTCAAGGATCAATTGTATATTTAAATATCTCAGTATTAACAAAATCTGATATATAAAACATAAAGGTAACGCTGGGCCCAGATCTTGTGATTTTTCTGTAATTATTATACTTGGGTCCTTCAAAGATGAAAACTAAAGGCCTAAGCAATTTTGTTTCCAGAATAAATCACCAATCCCTTCTAGACAGATTTTCCTGTGGCCGCAATCCCTTTTATTTTACTTTATATTAATAAGTAATTACTTTGTTTTAAGCACAATTTATGAAATGCAATTTATTCAAAAAAACTTATTTATATAATTAATACCTTTGCTTCGGTGCTTACAACCGGTTTTACAGGGAACTGAACTTCTGTGGCTTTTAATATTGTATTTTCTTGAAGAATGTCTTGTTGAGATTGATTGTGACCAAATGGCTAAAAAAAAAAAAAAAGTAAAACATTGAGAAATTTATCTCACGAAAAATTTAAACAGAGATTATCAGTGAATATTAAAGATGCAAATAATTTGTATTCTAAAATATTCTGGTCCCCAGTACATGGAAGTTGAGATGCATTATGAACGCAACAAAGTTATTGGTAGCAGTCCAAGAAACCCTTTCTAATCAATCCTCAACATGGCTGAAACACTGAACAAGCAGAAGAAAATGATGCTGTGGTAAGGTACATTTACATGAAATTTTAAACTTTATTGTGAATATTTATGAAATAAAGTTTGATTAGGGAAGAGATGAAGTAATGGAAATGCCTGTGAAAAGGCCAAATAAAATACTTTGAGCATGAAACACTAACATAGTTTGGTCCTCACTTGCAGTCAATTCCCAGACAAGTTCCTTAAGTTCTCTCTTCATACTGATGAAGGGACTAGGTAAGATGGGGGTTAGATCACATCTATAGTAGAGCTTGTAGTTCTGATTTCAATATTAAAAAAAAAAAGGTTTAGGAAATATTAAGACTCAATTTTAGTGTAATTTTCCTGAGGAAACTATGCCCAGGTCAAACTGTGCCTGCAGGGAGGTACAGGATGTGAGGAAGTGGAGACAGTGGAGGATAACAGAGTTCTGACGCCAGTATTCTTAACGGTAGAGAAGGTCAGCACTGTTAGCATACATAAGTTTAAAAAAAGGGCAAGCCCTGGTCAGTTTGTTGGCCTGTGGTCCAGAGAGACCCGGGTTCGGTTCCCGCTAAGGGCACATACCTTGGTTGCAGTTTGTCCCCGGCCCTGGTTGGGTCGTGTGGGTGGAAACCACTCGATGTGTCCCTTTCACGTGGATGTTTCTCTCTCTCTCTCCCTCCCACTCTATCTGAACAAAATATCAAAAAATGTCCTCAGGTGAGGATAAAAAAAATAAAATAAAATAAAAAGAGGGCAAAATGCAGGCCAAGTACATTGTTATGACATTAAAATAATTCTGATCATGGAAATTTTAGAAAGAAATAGAGAAAAAGCCTGGCTTCCCTTGGAAGAATCTAAATTGACTTTGAGTTAATGAGAGTATGTATTTAAAAGGGGAGAATCATACGTGTATATATATAGTACAGATGGAACTGTGTACTTTAACTTACCTTTCTACCATAAAGACACTGAAAGAAAATGACTCCAACTGACCACACATCAACCTTGTTGGAAATTTTTGGTGGTTCTTTTCCAACTACAAAACACTCGGGAGGTAAATACCTATATTTTTTTAGGGAGAAAAAGGGAAAGGATACTATTAACAATCTATAATTTGAAACCTTCTAAGTGTAAAATTTCAGAACACTAATTTTATTCACATAAAACCTTAGGACCTCCATGAATGAAAATTACCAAACTTTTGAAGCCTTTTCATCCTTGTATCATTGAACCGAGTGCCAAAACATACAACTTCTGTGATTAAGTATGCTATACAGACACACCTAAAGTGTACATTATATATATAGAGAGAGAGAGTCTACAGAAATATGAAAATTATCACGACAAATTACGACGTTCTAATTTGGTTATCTAACAATAGAAGAAATCCTCTCCCATCGCCCTCCGTCACCAGCATTCAAACTGTAGGCAGTTCTCCTACAATACATGATCTAATCATCATTACTCACTGCCAAGGTGTATATCTCATACCTCTTGTTTGTAGCACAAGACTCACCCCAATCCAGGAGCAACTTACACCTCCAACATCGCACTCATCTTCCATCCCCTCAAACTGGCTAGGGAAAACCAATTAACTTGCTTGCCCACAATGCTTTTCTGTCACCCATGCGTTTGAATATGGCAATCTTTAATAGCTTCCTGACCACTCCAATTCACCTGGTTGAGCACCTTTTCTTCCAGACCCACTCAACCTCCATAAGCCTCCTCTGCTTCCCTCCAGGTAGAGTTCTGCTTCTTCCCCATTCAGCCACCAGACATTACGGTGCCTCTACTATGGCTTTAAAGTAAAATCACACTAGACCATGAGTAGCTCAAGTAGCTCTTACTCCTTGGGCAGTTTCAAACACTAGCAGCATCTGAAATATGTTAAGTATTCAAAAACACTACTTTTCACTTGTAAGTGCTATTTATGAGTTCATAATTTTAGATAAAAGGTAAAAATAAATGTGTCACTTTCGGTTATAAGTAAAAGATCTATCAGAAATGTAAGCACCTTATTATACCTCAAAAACTGAGATAAAAGGAATAATACAGCTAAATGGGAATCTGCTTTTTTTTTTAATGTTAAAATCATTTAAGTTTCACCAGGATGTTGACAGATCTCTTAAACAAAACAAAAACCACATGAAACTTTTGAAATAGAACCACCAAAGATGACCAATAAATTCTTTGTGATGTAAATCCTTTCCTAACCCCCAAATCGAATTAAAACAAAAACAAAAACAAAAACAACTTGAACAAAATAGACCCAGAGATATAGAAGTAGTTTTCAGACTGACAAACTTCGGGGGGAGGGGGGAGATAAACCAAAGAACTTATGCATATAAGTACAACCAATGGACACAGACAACAATGCTGGGGGGCGGGGGCGGGGTGTGTGTGTCTGTAACAAAAATGATTAAAAACAAACAAAACTATTTTATGAATTACAGAGTGTATTTTGTGTAGGTTTATGTGTATGCAGCTGAAACAAGAATAGCTCTTAACCACTAGGCTACACAGTCTCTTGAGGCAAAAGGTTCAAAAGGTTATAAGCAAGGAGAGGGATTGTAGGAATAGATATCAAAGCTATGCAGGGGGAAAAGGACCACCAGGACTTAGTGGACAACTGTATTTGAGACCTGAGAGAGACAGAGGAACAAAACTGACTTTCTTCTAAGTGATATTCACAAAAGTTTAAGTTTCTGGGGATACAAGTAATCTGTAAAAGTGCCATCCGTATACATGCATTCTCTAAGTTTGTCTAGGACATCTCACTTTACCAAATACATAGCTAAAAAACTAGTATGACTGTAGAAAACTAACCATTTTGGGGACACTGTTTCTATGGCAAATGCATTCCAGTTTCCTACAGGGAAATGCCATGACTGTATCTCCTTACTGTACAGCCCCCTAAATGTAAGCTTCCCTGTCTCATCCACCTGACGGGTAAATTTCCTCATCTGCCCTGCCCTACAAGAGCAAAGCCAAACTGAGAGGGAAACAACATAATGGGAGTCTCTGCAGAAGAAGAAAGATCTATTATTTAGAACATGGTTTTCAAGTTGTCTTCCGCAGAGTTCAGGGTTCTACCAACAACTTTGTTTTTATTGGTTTTATTTATTAGGATCTTAACATTTTGTTGTGAAAAAGCAAGCCTTATTGCTAAAAGAAAAAAAAACCTAAAGATTACTGAGGATACTGACTTTCAGGGGGTTACTAGTTTGAACAATACTTTAAGTATTAAGAAAATTCATGACACATCATCTTATTCATATTCCTAGAAAGTGCCACAAGCAGAATTTAAAACTTTAAAATAGCTCCTTTATTATTATTTTTTAAATCCTCACCCAAGGATATGTTTACATTTATCTTCAGACAGAGTGGGAGGGAGGGGGAAAGAGAGAAACATCGATGTGAGAAAGACACATAGATTGGCTGCCACCCGCAAGACCCCAGCCAGGCATGGGGACGAACTGCAACTGATATGCCCTTGGCCAGAATTGAACCTGGGACTCTTTGGTCCGCAAGCCGACATGCTGAGCCAAACCAGCCAGGGCTAAAATGGCTTTAAAAGAATACATGAATCCCACTGCTGGGAATATACCCTCAGAAGCCTGAAACACCAATCAGAAAGAATATATGTACCCCCTTGTTCATAGCAGCACTATTTACAATAGCTAAGATCTGGAAACAGCCCAAGTGTCCACCAGTAGACGAATGGATAAAAAAGCTGTGGTACATATACACAATGGAGTACTATGCAGCGGTAAGAAAGAAAGATCTCTTATCCTTTGAGACGACATGGAGGGACCTGGAAAGTATTATCCTAAGTGAAAGAAGCCAAGCAGAAAAAGACAAATACCACATGATCTCACTTATATACGGAATATAATGAACATAACAGTCTGAGGAATACTGTAGACCCAGAAACATGGAAGTAGGGCACAGACTGACATTCCTAAGAAGAGGGGGTAGAGGGGTGGGAAGAGATAAACCACAGAACTTATTTGCATGTATGCATGACCAATGGACATGGACAACTAAGCCGGGGACGGGGTGAAGGTGGGGTGGGGTAGGGGGTGCCAATGGGGTAAAAAGGTAAAATATCTGTAACAAAAAAATAAATAAATAATTCATTAAAAAAAAAAAGAATACATGAACATGACTAATTCCTGTTCATGAAAAGTAAAGTCTGTACAGACTGGTGGTATCTTACGGAACTGGTCATATGTGCCCAGGCTACCTGTGTGCAGACTGTTCTGGAAACCCTAATGTCACATTTATGTTTGTAGTCACCATCCTCTTCAATGAAGTTAAATACAGTTCTCTCTTCCAATTAAAATTTCACTCTTTTTGTTCAACTAATTTATTCTGGAAACTATGTTTGTTTTGAAATTTTATAGTCTATGTTCTTCACTTTGGTGAATTTGACAATAAGTTTGACAATTCACAGTGAAGTAGTTTTTGTCAACACCTAGGTAACTCTGAAGGGAATGACATTCATTTAGACTGTGAATCTATGGGTCTATCTAGAATTGTATCAGTATGTATGAAGTCAGTAAAAGGTATTTTTGAAAGTCAAGTCCAAAGGCCAAGAAAGAATATGCCAAATACCTCTCCCACCCATGATCAACAAAATATCCACCTCCAAAAAAAGCTGTAACCACAAAATCTCTACATGTAGAGGGCTTGATGCTTATTGCTTATAACAGTTAAGATGTTATATTTATGTAAGTTGTTTTTCCATGATAAATATCACTCTAACATTATCGAAGAAACCCTACAAAGTCTTCAGGTTAGGAGTTTTTGGGCAGATACTGAAGTCACTTGCTAATGCCAAGTCTTTCTCCCTCTGGTTGGCTGATATTTACAGTTAAGATCAGATGAGTAAAGAAGACTGATGAGCAGTTTCCCTCTCAACTCAGTGACTTCATATCAGTACCCTCATCACAGTAATCTCAAAAGTACACGAAAAGAACTAAACTCTCATAAAAAGCCCTAGGACTCATCTAGACAATGGTTTAGTAATACGTTTACCAGTAAGTGCCTGCCCCTTGGGACGTTAGGTCCATTCCGTCTACACCATAGCTATCGTCATCCATGATCTTGGATAGACCAAAATCAGTGATTTTGATTTCTCCACATGCTGTTCCATCTACCAGAAGGATGTTTCCTAGGAGCAAAATATAAGGTTTTTTTACTGATAACATAGATAAAAAACACTATCTTAATGACTTACTCTAACTTTTAGGAAGTAAATATATATTTAAGACACATATTTAAAAATTTAAATATAATTTAAACATAATTTTAAAAAGTGACATGACAAAAATACTTTAAATCCTACCAGTATTCCATTGACATGTAAAAGCTAAACCAAAAAGCATGTTTTCAGGTAAATTAATAAATGACTTTATATTCTTTAGAGCTTAAAAATTATTTAGACACATTTTATTAATTACCTGGCTTAAGATCATAATGTATAATAGGGGGTTTGATTTCATTGAGATATCTTAGTGCATTTACAATTTGCATTATAATAGATCTAGCTTCTTTCTCTGACATTAATTTATGTTGCTTCAGATAGAAATCCAAATCATTGCCTTCACAGTATTCTAACACTGTACAAAACCTACAATGGAGAAAAGAAAAAAAAATTAGACATAAAATACTAGTCAATGATTTAGAATCACAATGGAGAAAATGAAGACATTTATATCATCACCACAGAATAGGGAAAGCAAAAGCAAACACATCTTTACTTAAAAACTAAATCCTTATATTCACTTACGTATCTGTATCCAAGGAGAAATAATCATAGAGTTTAACTATTCTGGGATGATCCAATTCTTTGTGTATTCTATACTCTCTGCAGGCATGTCTACAGGAAGAGAGAGTATATTAATTCTCCATGACCATTAAGTATATTTTCAATTGATAAAAAGAATGAAGTGTTATTTTACTTGTAGTAGTTCTCCTTCTTCTCATCCCGCCAGCTTTTGTTGAGCTGATGAATCTTCACAGCAGCATATCTTTGTTCATAAAGGTCAAAAGCCTAGGATTCAAGTCACAAGAGTTAGGACCAAATACCAAATGAAGAGCTAAAGAGAGATTTAAAAAAAAATTTTGGTGATAATTTTTGCACAATACACTACAATTCTTGTGTTCATCTTTGCTAAGATTATACACAGTTCAATGACACATAACCAGAAACCAGACACAAATTCCATGGTGCTAAATCAGAGAAAACTTTGTCAACTTTCATATTCAAGTTTTATAAATGCTAATATATACTGAATCAAAATAAAACAATAAAGCTATTTTTTGTTTTTAATGTGAACCTGCTTCTCTATCCTGGCAGTAGAAGTAAGCAGCCAGGGAAACAGATGGCTATACTAATGCTTTTTTTGTGGGTTGGATAAAGCAAACCTTTTTCTCTAGCTTCTCCTAGCAACTCCCCAAATTCTTCCCCACTTCTTTTAAAATTAACAAGTTCCTAACAATTTTCCAACTATTCAAAAGAATCCTGCCCTGGCCGGTTTGGCTCAGCGTTTAGAGCATCGGCCTGCGGTCCTGAGAGACCTGGGTTCGGTTCCCGCTAAGGGCATGTACCTCGGTTGCAGTTTGTCCCCGGCCCTGGTTGGTCGTGCGGGTGGCAGCCACTCGATGTGTCCCTTTCACATCGATGTTTCTCTCTCTCTCTCTGTTCCTCTCTCTCCCTCCCACTCTACCTGAACAAAAAAAAAAAAAATGGAAAAATGTCCTCAGGTGAGGATAAAAAAAGAATCCTAAACTTTGATTACGAAACTTTACAAATAGAACCATAACCCTTAACCATGTATCGTTATCACACCTAACTACATCAATAATAATTCCTAACCCCATCTATAATACCCAACTTGTCTTCAATTTTCCCTGTTGTCTTAAAACAAAAAAAGTTTTTACAATGGTTTGTTTAAATCACCAGCCTATTTCTTAAGTAATGAAACAAAAAAATGGTCATTATTCTTTTAAGGCTTCAGGGGACTTTAAAAATTTTTTTAAATTTGATTAAAAAACAATGAATCATTAAAAGAGAGATTTAATAATTTAGGTTACACTGTGATTTATACACAAAGGTGCCCCTTTAAGAAAACACTTACAAGCTTATATATCTATTAGAAAAAAGGTCCTCATTCAACATTCTCCCCCCATCAATTTAATCTGAAAGTAAGCTGTAATAGTAAACTGCTTGTCACAAAATGATAGAAGCATGAGATCAGAAACACTCCATGGTGGAATAATCATGAATATCCACTTTGGAGTCAGATAACCTTATGAGGCTACATGACTTTGTGCTAATACACTCTCTCTCTCTCAGCCTCAGTCTCATTTATAAAGAAAGTTTGGGTTGTTGAGAGGATTAAATGGGGTGAAACATAGAAAGTATTTAGAAAAGTATGATTCATAGTAAATATCCAATGAATATTAGCTAGTTATATTATTAAAGTTGGATTTAAAGAAATATGAAATAATTTTAAAAGGTTCACATGAGAGAAAGCAAAGGAGCATAAAGGATAAAACTCAGAGGCAAGCATAATAAATGAAAATAAAATTAAGTATACTACTGATAAAAAGTTAGTATCAGTGTATATTGATTATAATAGTTATATATGACACATCTTTCTTCCAAGATTAGATGACTAAAGTATATCTTCCCATAAAGTTAATACAGTAATCACTAAGCAACTAATTCAATCTTTTTCACCTTGGTACAGATAAAAGTCTATAAAATTTGATTTACAATTTGTTGATTTGTTTCCCAATGGACCTGGCAACCATGAAAGGGCTTTGCAGAGGTCGGAGTGAATCATTAGTATTTAGGGTCAATAATAAAGGTTCAAGTCATTAGGCTCCCACCTGCATTTTAAAATTTCTATGTAAGCCTTTTCTTCAAACAGAAAATCCCCTTGGACCTATCGTGGGGCTAAAAACAGTGGCAATACTATTGGGCAGTGGCAGAGGGATGCTGTGATTAGTAGGCTCAAAAGCTGGGCAACTTTTAGGCTGAGCTAGTGTTAGCCAACTGTACACTTTGGTGAGCTGTTATGATCTTTCCACCTTGTGGCCTGGGTAAGCCTACTTGAACTATCATTAGAATCAAAGACACAGGAATTAGAAGAGAGTCCACAGATCTCTCCTGATAGTTGAGGAAGGTGAGGCCCATGATGCTTACTGCTCGTCCAAGTTAACAAAACAAAAACAAAAAATAGTTAATGGTTGAACCAACAGATCTCTGAATTCAAATTCCATAAATTTTCCCAGAGTCAGAACACTCCAGGGTGACTTTTAGTAAGCCACGAAGTCATAGTCCTTGTCTCGCCGAACATAGGATTTCTATTAATGATGAGCTTACATTTACTAAGCACCAATGTTCTATGTGATTTACCTGTGACAGCTCATTCAATCATTACCACATTCCTATGATGTAGATATTGTTATTATTCCCAGATGAAAACAGTGAAACAGAGGATGACTGAAGTAATAAGCCCAAGATTATATTGTTATTTAATAGCAGTCGGAATTAGGATTCAAAACCAGCCAGTCTGGTTTCAGAATCCAAGCTCATAACCACTAACTATACTGATACATTATGAAGCACCAAGTATTACAAGCTTATAAAAGGCAGACCAGCAAGGAGGGCTTCTACAGGAACTGAAGTTTAAGGTGAGCATAGGACCTTCATCTTACTTAAGAGCAAATGTGAAGCCCCTGGGGCTTATAAGTAGGGCAGTGAAATAATCATATTACATGTTGTAAAAAGGCTACTCTAGCTGCAGTATACATAAATGCACTGGAGAAACTTAATGCCCAAAAGAAGGTAATCAGCTAGGAGGCTTGGGCAACAACAATGTGGCCTTGAGCTAAGAGAAAGGAAAGGGTCATTGCTGGGTTTAGGAGAGTTTAATGACATTAACAAAGTGGGCACCAGGGACTGGTTATATGTTGAGGGAAGAGAATTAAGGGAAAGGTGGAGTGAAGGATGGCTTTTAAGTTGAATAGCAATGCTATGTACAGAAGTAGGGAGCAGTGTTAGAAGAAGGGATTTTGGAAAAGAGAAATGTAACTTCTAATTCAAATGTGAGTTTGCAATGCCTATGAAGCATCCATGCCAAGTGAACAGACAAAGTCATGTACATCAATAGGTATGGAGTGCAGAAAGAAAGTGTGGGGCATGGACACACACACACACCTGAGGGTGAAATCAAATACATAACTTGGTGAATGGGGGGGGGGGGTAGATTTGAAAAGAAGAATACAGAATAAGAGACTTAGGAACTATAATATTCACAGACTGGGGCAGAAAGATACAACATAAAGTGGGGAAAAGGTAAGATATAAAACATAGAAACATGGTGAGTAAAAATTTATATTTATACATATGCATTTGAAAAACATGGGTGTTAGAACAGGCAGAAATTTTGGAAATTCAGAACATGTAAGATCTCTGAGACACATATTTAAATACAGGAATATAAACTGTCCATAAATGTACTATGGTATATGGCTACCTGCTTATCTTGATTCTAATGACCATTATTATTTGTATCAAACTGGCTAATGGTAACTAGGTAGCAAATATCAGAGGGACCATGCAGGTGCAAACATAGCCTTTAGACCAGCGGTTCTCAACCTGTGGGTCACGACCTCTTCGGGGGTCGAACGACCTTTTCACAGGGTCACCTAAGACCATTGGAAAACACATATTTCCAATGGTCTTAGGAACCGAGACATCGCTCCTCTATCCGTCTCCAGGCGGGTCTGCCCACATGCAGATACGCCCACATACAGCATGAGGAACTAAATTAAAGGGTCATGGCATTAGGAAGGTTGAGAACCACTGTTTTGGACTCTTAACATACAACATAAGCCACCAGATTTCTTGTAATGACGGCATAAATCTGTCATAAAACACATCCACATCAATAAACAAAAGACAATACTTCTTAACCACATACAGGTATCCCCATAGGTTTTGAGAGCTCGTGTTAGGCCACTTTTTGGCCTACATTTGTACCTGTTTGGGCTAACTGAAATAAATACAAAGAGGATTTTCCCTTTGTGAGAAAAGGCAAGAAACAAAAATAGCTTTCAGTGTTTGTCTCGCAGTGAGTCATACAGAGGCAGCACACACCCTGCAGAGCGAGGGGCAGCCCAAGCTCCTGCCCCTGGAACCACACTCAGCATCTCAGCATCTCAGCATCAAGCACAGCTTTGAACTGTGTGTGTGAGCGTTTGTGCTTTATCTGGATTTACTTTGTGCATCAATTAGCAAGATGTACCCTAAGCTTTCAGAAAGGCCTAAGAGAGCTTGTAAGGGTGTTGCTCTTACTATAAAAGTGGATGTATTAAGTGTATTTGGTATGCTATGGTAGGTTATTTTTGGGGTCTGGGAATAGTGAAAAAAATTTCCATATAAATTAATGGTAACTGCTTCTTTGCTTTACGTTATTCTGGCTTCTGAAAGGTTTTATAGGAATGCTATACTTTTGGATAGCAGGGGGAACCTGTAATCCTGTTATCTTTGCTATATTGGTGTGAAGGAGAGAAAAAAATGTACATTACCTTATACACTTCACTAAAGCCACCTCTACCAAGCAGATGAAGTAATAAATATCTTTCATTTAACGTTGGGTGATCTTTGAACCTTGAGGGTGGAGGAAAAAACATTCAGTAATATTAAAACAAACACGAAAAGTTTCTTTCCACAAAAAAGTAGTACTCTCTTATTCTACTTCTATTTCTTTCTCAGTTACTCTACTGCTAATTCCAAATTCTGTTCCATACTTTCCTTTTTCTATCTGCATGACTAGCACCCGTCTTAATGCTTGGTGTTCTCAAAGCTTAACATTTATAGCTGAATATTCAGGTTCAATGACCAATTACAGCATTGTGATAAAGAGCTACCAACCACTGTATTGTCAAGAACTTTATGAAATCCCCTATCTACTAAGCAGGAATTACTTCTCTTAGGAAAAATACTTTTATATTGGGGGTTATGGTTAATGAAGACTTTATAGTATTGACATATAATTAAAAACAATTATACTGCCCTGGCCGGTTTGGCTCAGCGGTTAGAGCATCGGCCTGCGGTCCTGAGAGACCCGGGTTCGGTTCCCGCTAAGGGCACGTACCTCGGTTGCAGTTTGTGGCCGGCCCTGGTCGGTGTGCGGGTGGCAGCCACTCGATGTGTCCCTTTCACATCGACGTTTCTCTCTCTCTCTCTGTTCCTCTCTCTCCCTCCCACTCTACCTGAACAAAGGATGGAAAAATATCCTCAGGTGAGGATAAAAAAAAACAAAAAAAAAACAAAAAAAAACAAAAAAACAAAAAACAATTATACTTATAAATTGGCTTTCACCCATGGTCAAATTTTATTGTCTGTAGACTTCTGTAAAAATGTAATTCCCAATTAAAAAGAAACTTGTTTAAAAACTTAAAAAGGGGGGGAACATATGTAACAAAAATAATAAAAATTGGAAAAAAAAAATCACTCACAGACAATACTACTATTACATATCCACAAACAAATTTGAACTTAATTTTCAGAATATCTAATTGTTAGTTTTGATCTGTTTTATTAGAATTTTCATCTGGTACAATTTAGGTTATTCCATAACTATAATAGTCTTTCATTCATCTTCTACACTGGAATGATCTGTGCATTTATGAGTTACATATATACAGATGATCACAAATAGGCCTTCTTATTATTTTTTAAAATGTTTTTATTGATTGTTTTAAAGAGAGAGGAAGGGAGAGAGATAGAAACATTGATGAGAGAGAAACAATGATCAGCTGCCTCCTGCACACCCCTTACTGGGGATCGAGCCTGCAATAAGGGCAGATGCCCTGACTGGGAATCGAACCAGGACCTCTCAGTCCATGGGAGGATGCTCAATCCACTGAGCAACACCAGCTAGGCAGGCCTTCTTGTTTTCAAGCAAGATATTTATATTTCACAGCAGAAACTGGCCACTTCCAATTCTAATACTCTCATTAGGCCATGAAGTTTTAAATTACATGACAAGTCTTAAGTATAAAAAGACAAGCTTTCTCTTTTCTACATCAATTAAAGCCAAGAAGTGCTTTGCTTAATTTCTATCTTCTTCATAAAATTCCCACCAGCCCACAGGTATTTTTCTCTTTGTTCATTTTTATAACCAGGGATTAAGGACAGACACTTAAACTACTTTTCTATTTTTTCTCAAGTTTTGCATAATAATGCTGGCTATATGGCTTATTAAAATCCCTTTAGTTGAAATATTTGTCCTTCCCTAGTAGTATTAATTTTGGTATTCAGTCAACAAATATTTATTGCATGCCTACCATGTGTCAGGGACACAGCAAGAACAAAACTAAGTCCCTCCTCTCATACAGGTTATATTCTAATGGAAAGAGACAGATAATAAATAACTGAAATATAAATTTTTAATTCAGATAGTGATAAATGTTATAACAAAATAAAGGTTAAGATACTAGGAGAGGGAATGGAGTGATGTAAGGACTGCTGTCTTAGATAGGGTCGCCTAGGGATGGGCTCTCTAATGATCATTCGCAGTGAAATCAAAAGTAAGCCACTCAGATATTTAGAGGAGAAACATTTCAGGTGAGCAAGTGGTAAGCACGAAAGCCCTGAGATGGGAATGGGAGTCAGCATGTCTACAACCCATAAGTAAGGGGTGGTGGCCACAGACTAGTTCAGAGAAGACCCTCTGAGCCATGGGAAGGGCTGTGGATCTTTTTGTTTGGTATGATAAGAAGTTCCCAACAAGGAAATATTGTGCTTATGCTCTGCACAGAGGAGAAACACGTTTATCATATGAAAATAAAAATAAAAATAATGACTTACTGTGAATTGTCTTCATTATTTATCCTTTTGAGCTCTCGAATATGAAGATTCCTGACTCTTTCCAAACGTTCAAGTTCTGCCTGGATTTCTGCCTCTTCCTGAAAATGAAGAGAGGGGACTATAACAAGCTCAATTTATTTGCGATATAAAAAAGGTATTTTTACCCATGCATCAATTTTTTACAGTGACAGGAAGAATGGTTATTATAAAGTACCACTGAGTTAAAAGACCAAAGTGCTCTTTTCAATGCCTGAAAGATGGAAAAAGATCAGGAAAAAGCCTATTTCAAGAAACCATCCTCCACATAAAAATCTATACCTAATGAGATGCTGAGTTTTATTCTGTACAACAAGAAATCTATTTTTATAATATCTAAACTGAAAATGACTGCAAGGTAGCCTGAAACTGACTTATAACACAAAATGAGCTGAAAGCTTTATTTCTGATACATTCAAATTTTAATTTAAGAGGGAATAATTTGCTAGTGTAAAACAAATGAAATGAAGATATTTTACAATAGTTAAAAAGAGGAAGGAGGAAGACAAAACCACTGATTATTCCTAGAACTTACACATAAAACACACATATCCCACTAAAATGTTAAGATTTTAGAGACGCTACGACAAACATTTTATGAATAGCTGTGACAGATCCTTAGTTATCATCAGAGCACATCTATGCAAATCCTAAATTTATGTTAACATTCATTTAATATAAAAATTTTGATATTTTCATGCCTCGAATAGTTTTTAGAACACAAAAAAACTAGATACCAAAAAAAAAAATCAACATAATCACCCATCTCTCCTCTCTCTCCACCCTCGCCCCGCTACACCCCTCCAATTCATCAATATAAATTTCAATACTATTTAAAGGATAAATAAGAATATACCAAATTTCAGTGGAGAGTTTTATAATATTTTTGAATATTTGTTGAGTAAATACAGATTGCCTTGGCCTAAAAGTGTACATACTACCATTATAAATATATACCACATGAAATAGAGGTTATTTCTGAATACTGTATTTAAGTATTTGTGTATTTTATTAGCTCCTCCTCTTTTAATGACTTATCTTCTGATGTTTTTAAAAATACTTTATCTAAAAAAATTAGTAATTCTGAAATTAATTTGAAAATATAAATATCATTTCATTCCAAAGCAGATAATAGAGATATAACCTGTATCTAAGACTTACACTGAAAGGAATGTTCTAAGTATTATAAAAAAAACAAATGTTGCCCTGGCCAGTTTGGCTCAGCGGTTAGAGTGATGGCCTGCGGACTGGAGAGACCCGGGTTCGGTTCCCGCTAAGGGCACGTACCTCAGTTGCAGTTTGCCCCCGGCCTCATTTGGGGTCATGTGGGTGGCAACCACTCGATGTGTCTCTCATGGATGTTTCTCTCTCTCTTTCCCCCTCTCTCCCTCATGATCTACCTGAAGATACATGCAAAAATGTCCTTGTGTGAGGATTAAAAACAAACAAAAAAAATGTTCACAGATTAAAAAACTAAATCTAGGTATGTTTGCATTCCACTTGACCCTTAAAGTTATTTTATTTATTCTGAAGTAAACTCCACCAGTACTTGTAGATTAAACAGAAACTTTCAAAATAGACTTAAATAAAGATAAACCTTTCTAGAATTCGGGAGAGATTTTTCTGAAAGATATACTAAATAGACATTTAACTAAAATTTCCTCATTTAATGTAGCTTCAGTCACACACATTTCTAATTTTACTGAAAAATGAAAACAGTAAGGTAATATCCCAGGAGATTAAATTAAAAATTAATTATAACAACAGGAAATAGATGAAAAATCTTTGGAACAACAAACTCAAGTCACAGCCTAGTTGTCTTAATTTAGTCATAAAATAGAATAAGAAACTGGCCACGTAGGAATACTCCTGAGTATGAAAAATTCAAATTCATTTATACCACAGAACACAAAAAAGTGGTTATTTTTTCTCTTCATATTACTAATGTTTGCTGCCTTAAAACTTAATTTGATTCTTATATAAGTAGGAAAGCTACTAAACACTTGGTAGTCTGGTAGATTTTTAAATAATCTGATAAAATAGTGAAATGCCTATCACAACACCAGCTGAAATACTTGTGTTAACTTTATTTGAAACTGTGGTATGGGGACACTAGTTCAAAAGTGAATTTACCAAAATTAAATTTTACTGAGTCATAAATACAAGATTATGAGATTCAACTAGATTGCTGATATACACAATTACATTTGTTTTATAATTCTTGGTAATCTTCAGATGTCTATACAATGGCAGTAACCAACATCACAAAATAAACACTTATTTTTAAAAGTAAATGTATGTCTGTGTCAGTTAAGCAAGTTTTTTCTCTATAAAACATGTCAAGTATGTTCCATAAAGTTTTACACTACTAAAGCACAGGCAAACTTCATGTCAATTTGAACTGTAAAGTTTATATCGAAAAACAAAATGTCAAAAGCGCTAGGGGGAAAAAGCTGCATCCTAGGTATTTAAGAGGAAATGTCAAGGGAAGGAACTATAACCAAAAGCTGTAAATACAGATAGACATAAATCCTTCAAAGTCAGTAAAATATATTTATAAATTCCATATTGTAATTTCATTTACTTCACAGTATCTTGGACCTTAAAACAAAGTGACACATTCTGGAAGAAAGATAATTCTGCAACTCCAAGTAATTTCTCTCAAATCCCACTGAGAAAAAGTATATACTATTATGAACTAAAGATTTGTATTCCCCCAAAATTCATGTTTAAGCTCCAACCTCAATTCAACGGCGCCTTTGGGAAGTAATTAGAGTTAGATTAGTTCATGAAGGTGGGACCCTCATCATAGGATTTATAAGAAGGAAGAGAAATATCTTTCTCTCCTCATACCCACCCCTTCTTTTGGGGAGCACAAGGAAAAGGCTATGTGAGGACTTAGGAAAGCAACTATCTATAAACCAGGAAGAGTCTCACCAGAAACGGAACCCTTCAGGACCTCGATCTTGCACTTCCAGCCTCTAGAACTGTGAGAATATAAGTTTCTGTTGTGTAAGCCACCCAGTCTATGGTATTTCGTTGTGGCAGCCCAAACAGATTAATACACATACTTTTAGGCACAGATGCCAGGGCAATACTGCCTAGTACCATTCTCCCTTATAGAAAGGGGCAAGACCCAGTTTTGATCCGAATTCTGGGTAGAATAGTCTAGGATACAGTAGTGTCAGCAACTATCTTTACAATGGGCCAGCCTCAGAATTAATAGTTTTCAAAGGGTTAAAGAGAAGCAAGGATGACCTGGGCTCACAATTGATCTAAATTCATTATAGCATGAAATTCTGAAACACATGGTAAAACTAGGCCATATTACTAAAATAAAAGATAATCCAACCAGCTAGATCATGCTTAGTAGGAACATCAATTTTCAATCCTTTAGTCATCCAGAATCTAACAGTATCTCTGGAAAGGAAATGGTCTCTGTAAGCAATTAGTGTCGAAGGGACATGAGTAAGAATAGATTGTATTAAAAAGAGAGAAGCCCTGGCTAGCCTGGCTCAGCGGTTAGAGCGACCCAGGTTTGGCTCCCGCTAAGGGCACATACTGTGGTTGCAGTTCGTCCTCGGCCCCTGTTGGGGTCGTGTGGGTGGCAACCAGTCGATGGGTCTCTCTCACATCGATGTTTCTCTCTCTCTCTCTTCCTCCCTTCTCTCCTTCCCACTCTATCTGAAGATAACTGCAAGAATGTCTTCGGGTGAGGATAAAAAAAAAGAAAGAGAGGTAGGTTTGGTGACCACATACAATAAAAGGACATGGCTCTTTTCTGTTTCAACAAAAAAAGATAATGGACAATTTAACAGTATACACTACAGCTATCTTAACAGGATTTAAAAATAAGCTCTAATATTCTAAGTTATATTAAAAAAAACAAGTCATACAAGTATACAACAGATCTCAATAGTGCCTCATTGTTTAAGTAACCAGCAAAAGACACCACCTTCCAAAATTTTTAACTTAAAAATTTGTATGAAAGGTAAATTCCACAGCAACTTAACCAGAAAGGCTTGTCGTTCAACAGATATTTAGCATAAGAATGCTTTCTATTTGTAATCAAAGTCTCTTCTGGCAAGTTAATATCCCCTTAACTCAACATTCTAAGCCAAAAGGAATTTACAGCAATGTGGAATCTCTGTAAATGCCAGTTTAAAACTGTTGGATGGATTCTGGGTATTTTTGAGTGTTTCCCATAACGGCAATTTTTCAAAGAAAGGAGGAGTATATAGGCAATACGTTATGAAGCTTAAAGACTTACAAAATGCGCCCTGGCCAGTTTGGCTCAGCGGTTAGAGCGTCGGCCTGCGGTCCGGAGAGACCCGGGTTCGGTTCCCGCTAAGGGCACGTACTTCGGTTGCAGTTTGTCCCCGGCCCTGGTTGGTCATGCGGGTGGCAGCCACTCAATGTGTCCCTTCACGTCGATGTTTCCCTCTCTCTCTCCCTTCCTCTCTCTCCCTCCCACTCTACCTGTACAAAAAATGGAAAAAATATCCTTGGGTGAGGATAAAAAAAAAAAAAAAAAAAGACTTACAAAATGCATTTTCACAGGTAAAAACAATAGTTTCTGAAAAAAATTAAACATACTAGTTTAAACTTTTAGCAAATCCTGACTGTATATTCCATGTTATCCTCCGCCCCCCCAACAAAAATAGCAAAACTCAATTTCTAAGAGCTGCCTTTGTATAAAGTCAAGGTAAGATGAAAAGTATTTTGATATAACATTATCAGCTCACCTATAATCAATAAAGGTTGGTAAAACACAAGAAATGTATGTGGGCCCTGGCCAGTTTGGCTCAGCGGTTAGAGCATCGGCCTGCGGTCCGGAGAGACCCGGGTTCGGTTCCCGCTAAGGGCACGTACTTCGGTTGCAGTTTGTCCCCGGCCCTGGTTGGTCGTGCGGGTGGCAGCCACTCGATGTGTCCCTTCACGTCGATGTTTCTCTCTCTCTCTCCCTTCCTCTCTCTCCCTCCCACTCTATCTGTACAAAAAATGGAAAAATATCCTCGGGTGAGGATAAAAAAAAAAAAAAAAAAGAAATGTATGTGGTATA